CAAATGACAGGTTATAGGTCCATAAAAAATGTAATAGCTGGGTAACGATTGCTGCCCTCACTAACCTGGCAGAGTGAAAATGATGAAGCAAAGTTGGCAGGAAGGCATACAACATAATATATCCTGTGATCATATTTGCATAACCAGTACTGTGGCAGGATGTGAGTTTAAGGATGAAATCTGGTACACTGGGAATAGAAATTGGAAAAACAGAAGGGTTCAAGAACTTTCATTCATGCCTTCTCCATAGATCTTGGGCAAGGGGACATGGAGGGAGTAAATGGAGATGAAGTGTAAAAACTGATGGAGTTAGAATACACAAAGGCAAATGTTTAGAGGGAATTGTCACTTCCCTTTCTCTGTTTTCTCTCCTCAGATGAGACTCCAACCAATAATTCACAGCTTGGTAAGATAATTAGCAAATAAAAGTGCAATGTTTTAAAATGTTTTGGTGATTTGTTGCAAAACTGTAATCAAATAAATATAGTGAGCTCTAGTTTCTAAAGGGCTGTGTTTAAAATAACAGACAAGTTTTGGAGTCATATGGGATCTGTTGGCCAGTTTTCATAGAATTTGTAGCTTTTATTTTGATTTGTTCTGTTTGTCTATGGGATACTGACCTTCTAACCCATATAATCCTTTAGGTTTGGGGTTATATTATAGTTAAACAGATTACAGTATACTCCAGTGTCTTGCTGTGAGATAGTAGTGACCAGTGTTTTTGTAGGAGAAAGTGGCAAGCATTGCACTAAATACATTTGAGACTTTATAAGGGTTTGTATGGTTCTTGCAGGTTCCTTGAGCATGCCGCCATTCCAGCTGAATGCCGTCACCAGTGCTCTGATATCAGGAATGGTCATTCTGGGAGTCATGAGCTTTTCCCTCCTTTTGTGCTCACTGGTCCTTCTTCACAGGAAGGGATCTGCCAGTTTGGTGTTGAATGGTATAAGAAATCCTGTGTTTGAGTGACTATAGCCAGTTCTGCTCTTGGAGGAAGGCCTCACTGACTAATCTGTATGACCACAGTCAGTGTTCCATCCGAGTTGATTGCCAGCCACTTTTGATATTTGTAGGTTTGATAGGTTTCATGTTGTAGCTCATCAGCATGATGATAGTGGAACTTTGATGATATTGCTACTGTCACCTGTGTATATGGCCAGCCCTATTTTCCTCATACCAATGGGCATATTGACAATAAATAAAAAAATCAGAACTTAGATCTCACAATATCAGACATTTTTTTTTACTTTATTTTCAATTTATTTTGATTGTGGCCATAGGAGATAAAGTATAAGCACAAACAACAAAAAGGAATTTGTTGCATTTTCCTGTCAGCAGTAAAGCTCAATGCAATGACATTAGATGCGTATATCTGGACCTAAAAGAGAAGTTGCTTTTTGCTTTAAAACAGGTAGTTCCAGCTTGAGGGTATATATTAATGGGTCACTTGAGATTTAACTATTAGCTCTATGACCTACTGTGTCGTGGATTAATTTTCATGTCTGATGACAGTCATTTAAAATGAAAACACCAAACTAAGCTAAAAATTCTCCTGGGAAATTCATTTGTGTAGCAAACAGTAAAAGTACTTGTTAGTCCAAAGAATATGAAGATCATTATTCCTTTGGATAGGAATAGCTGTGAGGGATTTTGTCCTGGCTCGTGTGAGAACATCCAACATAGGTTAGCTCTCCTGACAGCTAAATAATTCAGTTGCTATGATTACAACAGGGTGGTAACTGCGCAAAGATTGTTCTTAATTCAGAAACCATGTGAGAAAGCAAACCCTGTTCCAGAGAAGAGGATGTGGTCACCACCACATGGACCACATGGCATTCCTGGGAGGGTCTTTTAACAAGCTAGTATCCTTTTGCTCCTAGAACAAAGAGAAAACTTAGATTAGTGTAGTTTGTGTAGTCTGCATGATAAAGGATGTTGCTTTGTCCCAAATTTTTATGTTGGGGGGGGATGGTGGTCCAAAGAAGCCTTCCTTCTGAGGTATCTTCCTTTAGATGTTATGCCCACAGTGGAATTAAAAGCACTTTTCCCTAGCTATAAGCTGTGAGAACATTTGATCCTTTATCATTTTCGCAAAGTATTTTTTTAAAGTCAATTTTAAGCAACCCATGTT